AAAAAGCAAAGTGCCAGACAGCTTTAGTAAGCAGTGCTGCTGCCAGCCTCACCTGTTACTCATCATCAGGAAATACCATTACTGTCTTCCAAGTGCTTTTTCTCAGCATGTTGGCAAATACATACTCTTGGAAGATCATATTGATATCATATTGATACTGCAAATTTTGCAAGGCTCTCATTAAGAGTCAGTTGTACAAGGAGAAGGAGCTGGGTGAGTAGGGAACTGCTGCCTGCCTTGGCATCTTGGAGGAGGACGTTTGCGAGTGAGAGCCCTACTTTAGAAGTAAGCATTATTTGGGAGTCCCTTGATGTTAGGACTGCACGTATGTGTGTGCATACACATACACATAATCCTTGCTCCAAAACCAGTTCTGTCTAAATAAAGACGTCTCATAAATTACAAGAGCCTTTATCACCCTGGCCTTTCATTTTTACAGAGGTGTCAGATTGGAATGTTGATATCCAGAAGACAGCTGGCAATGCTGCATAACATTTGCAACTGTTGAAATAGTTTTTGGGATGCTTAATGAGGAAACTCAGAGAGCAGTTCCACCAACCTTATATTGTCTAAGGTCTGTCATGACCCCTAGTGAGTTAATAAAAATAATTCTTTCATGCTGGGAAAAAAATGGAAGAGAAAATGAGCTGCATAAGATTTGTCTGTGACATTTAAAGTCTAAGTCTGAGTTTGTCTGCGTAATTTATCTTTGGGTATTTGCAGGAGGGAGAGCAGGAGAATATGAATGAGAGCATCTCAATTGTGTCTGAGCTTTCTGATGAAGAGAATTTCTGGTGACTCCATCTGGCTAGAAGGTCTATCTACGTGATCTCTTCTCTGGCAGGTGGAAGATAACACTAGGAAGAGTTCTTTGATTATCAAAGCATGGGAATGACTCCAGTGCAGTATCACCCTGAGACACCTCTTTCTTTCAGAGTGACAAGTGATGTTTCTGAGATGTTAGAGCTCATTTCCCCCTGCTGCACTGAACATGTGCATGCCAGATTTTCTTCGGCAGTATTAAACCTATCCACCTTGCCTGTCTCTTGCTGGTGAGAAAAGCAAGGAAAATACAAGGTATCTATGTAGACAGCATAGTGAGTACAAAGAGACTGAACAAAGAGGATGTATTTATCCCCTTCATTAATATAGAACAATATGTATTTTTTTTACAAAAGTGCCTAGTTGCTTGGAGTTTCAGTGAACTACTTTTTGAAATACATAAAGGATGATTAGACTGACATTAATTGAAGTCTTTCTTTGAACATAGAAGTTCTCTCTCCAAGAACGTAGCTTTTTTTTCCCCCCACTGTTTTTGGCTTTCTTCTTCCACATGTCTGCAACATCCCACTGAGTATTCTCACATGTCCGTCAAGATTTCACCTTGCAACATGCAGCGTTGCAAATGAACCTACTGCAGTCTTGCATTCAGACCTTTCCAGACCTGAGGGAGGGTTACTTTCCCCATCTACTCTGCCCTGGTGAGGCCACATCTGGAGTACTGTGTCCAGTTCTGGGCTCCCCAGTTCAAAAAAGAAGCGGAACTTCTAGACCGTCCTGTGGAGGGCCACAAAGATGATTAGGGGCCTGGAGCATTTCACTTATGAAGAAAGGCTGAGAGACCTGGGATTGCTGGGATGAGAAGACTGAGAGGGGATCTTGTCAATGCTTATAAATATGTACTGGGTGGGAGTCAAGTGGAGGGAACCAGGCTTTTTGCAATGGTCCCCAGCAACAGAACAAGAGGCAATGGGCACAAACTGAAACATAAGAATTTCCATATAAATATGAAGAAAGACTTATTTGAGAGTGACACAACACTAGAATAAGGTACAAAGATTGAGGAGTTTTCTTCTCTGGAGATAATTAAAACCCTCCTGAATGCTTTCCTCTGTAGCCTGCTGTAGGGAACCTGCTTTAGCAGGGAGATTGAACTACATGATCTTCAGAGGTCCCTTCCAGCTGCTTTAATTCTCTGATTCTGTAGTTTTTAAGAATAACATTCAGCTTGCTCTTATGGGTATCCAAAGATAATTAATGGAGCCTTCTGTTAATTGCATACCACTTCAGTGTCAGGAGGTGTCTGTGAGTGCCAGTGCTTGCTTGGAGGTAGAAAAGAGTAGGCAGCCATGGGAGCCATGCTTCAGCACAATTTCCTCTGGTGTCTGAAGAGATTCATGCTGGGGAAGACAGACTCTACCCTTTTATGCCTGTATTGGCCTCTGTCATCACTCTCCTTGCTCTGGCAGACGTTAGGAGAAGTTGTTTGAGGTAGCTCCTTCCTACACAGATTATGTCTTTCCCAGCTTACCCATACCAAACCACTGCAGTTTGGTGTTGAGAGTTAGTGGTCTGAGCTACACCTCCAGCCAAATTAATAAAGATGTATACAGATCATCTTTGGTGATGAGAATACTTATGAAAAATGTCTGCCCATACAACTCATATGAGAAGGATGTGGAGCAGAGTCCAGAGGAGGGCCACTAAGATGATCAGAGGGCTGGAGCACCTCTCCTGTGATGAAAGTTTGAGGGTATTGGGCTTGTTTAGCTTGGAGAACAGAAGACTCTGGGGAGACCTTATTGCAATCGTCTGATACTCGAAGGGAGATTACAAGCAGGAGGGGAACCAACTTTTTACTCAGGTAGATTGTGATAGGACACGGGGGAATGGATTTAAACCAAAAGAGGGGAGTTTTAGGTTAGAAGTTAGGAAGAAATTCTTCATTCAGAGGGTGATGAGGCTCTGTAACAGGTTGCCCAGAGAAGCTGTAGATACCCATCCCCGGAGGCATTCAAGGCCAGGCTTGATTCTGGGACAATGACCACTAGGTTGGCAACCCTGCCCATGGCACAGGGGTTGGAGCTAGATGATCTTTAAGGTCCTCTCCAACCTATGTCATTCTGTAATTCTATGACTCTTAATGGATGGCTTTGCCTCTTTGTCCCTTATTTTTTCTTTGCTATTCATGTTGTCCCCCAAGATGCTCTCAGATTTTTTTCTTGGCATAACATTCATTTTGATTTTGTAGCTGATAGCATTATTATTTTATCAAATAACGTGATGAATTGTTACAGCTATCCTACTAGCAGCAAAAGCAGTGATGCTTTCTAATGGCACACTTTACCTCTGCTGCGTTATTGCTGCCCATTTCATTATTTGCACGTTGATTACAGCTATGCTTCTCCAGGGCTATGAAATATTCAGCAGTGTGGAGCACTTCAAGTGCATCACAGTCCTCAGAACCAGACACCTGCCCTCAAAGGCAGGGAGGAGCCAAAACCTTTGCAGATTTAAAACTGATGTAAAAAATCCTGCTTTGCTTTCGCTTTCCCTGCACCACTGGCTGGAGATGCATGCTAATTAAAAGTTGCCACTTTTCTTGCACTTGTGATTAGATGGGAAGAGAATAAGAATAAATATACAGCGAATGTATTTCTACCATATTTAACAGGCTATGACAAAGAAGGAAGGAAGCGTTGTGGTAAAACTGGTGTCTGTGTGTCGCTGTGAAGCAGCTGGCATTATGGGTGGAGTTGAGAAAAAAGCTGTGTGTTAAGGGCAAAAATGAGCACTGCAGGTCATTTTCTCACGCTTTGTCTCTCTGTGGGAGTAACCAGCAATGATTGACTGAAATGGGCAATATTTTACCAAGTAGGAAGCAGATACAAATTTTATAAACAGGATACTTCATCATTAAAGAAAAGAAACAATTGCATTGACCTTGACACCGAATGAGTAAGGCCAGCATTGTGATAATTGAGAATGTAACCAAGCAACAGTTCTGTAGTCACTTGCACTGCATGATTTTTTATAGAGCGTGCCAGTAATGGGGAGGCCTGAATCAGCAAAACAGCTGGTTAATGCTTACAAAAAAGGAAATTATTTCTTTGTGCAGGGGGTTTGAGTTGTAATACGTGCTTATGCTGATTGTAATTTGGGCTTACGTCAAAAGAAAGTAATTGAATCAGTATATCCTTCTGAGCAGGCGGTTAGCCCGGCAGCATCCCTCATTTCTTAAGCTGCTTTAGAAACATGAGTCCGTTCTGAAAATTAGTGCTGTAGAAGAGATGGTATATTCCTTCAGAACTAGCCTATTTTATATCCATTTCAGTTTACTTTGGCAGTAATTAGACTTCCCAGTGCTACTGGTTTTAACTAGCCTCTGCTTGAAAAGCTGGACTGCAGTTTCTACTAATTTAGTTTTGAAGTAAGTTATTGCAATCAACCACTGAAGATATGCTCTAACTTCATTTTAAACTAGTCTTCCAATACTACAACAAGACAATTCCTTACAGAGTTAAAGGTGGAAGACCCTTTACATCTGGAATAAGCATCCAGGAAAAGAAAGGTATTTACTTCTACCTAAGTCAATTTACAATCCAAATTAGTTAAATTTGGATTAGTTAAATTTGGCAGCCACATGGCCACCACATTATCCCATATCTAGAAGTATGCACTGCAAGGCTGGTGCTGATGGAAACCTGCAACCTCCGTACTTTTCTTTATGCTCAGCAAATCTCTCATCGCTGCCTTCGATTCTTTCTTTCTAGATACCAAACCAGTACAGTCACTAAGTAACAGTGAGTTTCTGGGCACAATAAAGTGCAGAAAGCACTGCAGGATACTGTCACTGCATGGGTATAAACTACCCTGTGTACAGGTGCCTTTAATACTAATTTGGTCTATGAAATCCATGTTACTGTGAACATTATATCGACAAGATAATAAGGATTTCAAAATTCAGTCTAACTTCTTTGGAAGAACTTTGAAAGTCAGAGATTTTAATAAAAATAATGACTTTAAAAATGATGTTAGTTAGTCTGCGGTATTTCAAATAAAGGAGGGGAAACTTTTTCTAAAAGTATTTTTCTTTGAAATTGATTTTAAATTCGAAGTAACAGGAGATAATGTATATTCTCTGATACATTCTCATAGTGTGGCATAATTGAGCTATGTTCAGAGTTGTGAAAATTTCTTCTTTTTTTCTTTTAACCCAGGAGGAAGCATTTGTCGATACTGTCCATCACTGGGACATCAAGCTCTACAGAGACTCTTAAGGTAATTATTTATCTGATTCCTTTTTGTTTCCTGCGGCGGTCAGTTTGGCTTTAGTTCAGCTTTATGAAGACACCCTTGATTTATGAACAATATGATGCTAAGCAATCACATTGGGTAGCAGCAGTATTACACATAGATTTTACAGAAGCCTTTGCTTACAGTTTCACGAGCCATGATTTGTTGCGTGTTTGTGTATTAAAATAAAGACATGATACATTCTGAAAATACAGTTGTTTCTATGTCTTAAGAAGCAGTACTACCATTTTCAGCTGAAAGACTCGAAATCGACTGGATATGTTTTTGATATGCTTATTTAAAAAGCCTTTCCTTATCTCTCATCTCCTGCCCTGGTGCTGGGTGATTTGGTTGGTAGATCTCTTTTGGAAGAGCAAACCAATGGCTGCCTATCAGAATCTGTCATCTTTGCTTACTTTGCCAAGTTCTTAAAAGCTGCTTCTGCTGCTGTAAGTACTGTAGATGCTGCAGATCTATACACTGTGTTTGCTTATTTCAAAGCCTTTCTGAAAGCATAGCTAATGAGGTCTCCCTGGTATGGACAGAAAATAAATAACAAAATAGACAGCTGGGAGTTATATTTTGTGTTGAATTTACAAAGCTATCCCACTACAGAGGATATGAAGAAGAGTGCTATGGTTATGAAGTTGCCCTGGGAATACAATCTGCAGATCATATCTTGCACTTTTGCATGGGGAGCAGTGAGATCAAGTCTTCAGTATGTAGGCTGGTGCTGCTTTACATTCATTTACTGAAGGTCTGATGAGACTTAAGCAACATCACAATTATACTGGATTGCTGTTCAAATAATTAAGGCTTTCCAACGCTAAGCAGATGTGAATTTTTTCAATAATTATAGTTGTTTTTTATTCTAGGTATCTCAGACCTTGTTGTGTGGCTGTTTCTAGTAAGTGATGTTATGGTACTGGACCAAAGATAAATCCAGTGGCAGTAGGGCTAAACTTCTGCTTCTCGTTCTTCATAATGGCAAGGTCACAAATAGATCTTCAGAGCATCAGCTATTTTCTTCACCTTGGCAATCATTTGCTCTCTCCCTATTATTTATTTATTTACTTATTTATTATTTTTTTGAGCTGAACTGAATTCAGGGAAAACAAAAACATTTTATTCTGGGGAGAGGACAGACAGCTGCTTAGTGACTTGTGCACTCATCACTTGTCTGAGAATTACTTTCTTTACACAGAATATACTTTTCTTGGTGATGGTGGGTTGTTGACATTTTCTAAGCTAGTGATTGTAAATCCTGACATTAGGCTATTTTGACTTTATCAGCCAGTCAGCTGAGTGATCCCTTGCATTTGCAGTTTGAGGGATTTTTCTCAAGCAGTTATACTAGAGCAGACCAGTAATGAAGGGGCATTCAGTTCTTTCTGTATATGAATTGTTGGCTGGTGCAGTTTATTTAATTGTATGTAATGCACTCTGTGGTTCAGGTACACTGTAAGTCTCTTTCTTAGCACAATGGTAACCTTGAAACTTTCAAGGGAATCAGTGCTATTCTAAGGCATACCAAGAAAGTGTTCCTTGCTTACAGCATGTTGATGAGACCACAAGTGAAAAACTTTAAAAGTAATCATGTTGTGCTGGCTGACTGTGTGCATGTTCCTAGCTTTTCCTAAAAGAAAGTTTAGTCTGGAGAAGACTGAGAGGTGTTACCACCAATGTTTATAAACATCTAAAGTGCAGGAATCAAATCATAGAATCATTAACGTTGGAAAAGACCTCTAAAATCATCTAATCCAACTATCCACTACCATCAGTATTACCAATGTCCTTAAGTACTACATTTACCCTTCTCTTAAACACCTCCAGGGATGTGACTCTACCACCTCTGTGGGCAGCGTGTTCCAATGCCTGACCACTCCTTCTGAGAAGAAATTTCTCCTAATGTCCAACCTGAACTTCCTTTGATGCAACTTGAGGCCATTTTCTCTTGTCCTGTCTCTGTTACCTGAAAGAAGAGGCTGAACCCTACCTTCCCACTGCCTCCTTTCAGTTGTAGAGAGTGATAAGGTCTCCCCTGAGCCTCTTATCCAGACTAAGCAACCCCAGCTCCTTCAGCCACTCTTTATTAGACTTGTGCTCCAGACCCCTCACAGCTTCACTGTTCTTTTCTGGACATGCTCTAGGGCCTCAGTGTTTTACTATAGCAAGGAGCCCAATACTGAACACAGTACTCAAGGCGCAGCCTCGCCAAAGATGAGTACAAGGGGAGAAACTTCTCCCTGTTCCTACTGACTATGGTATTTCTGATGCAAGCCAGGATGCTGTTGGCTTTTTTGGCCACCAGCATCCTGGTGGGCATGCTGCTGGGCTCACGTTCAGCCAAGCGTTGACCAACCCCTTCCATACAGTTTCCAGCCACTCTGCCCCAAACCTGTAGCACTGCATGGGGTTGTTCTAACCAAAGCACAGGACCTGACACTTGGTCTCATGCAGTCGGCCTCAGCCCATCGATGCAATCTGCCCGGGTCTCTCTGTAGGGCCTTCCTACCCTCAGACACATTGACACCTCCCCCCAGCTTGATATAATCTGCAGACTTACTGAGGGTGCTCTCAATTCCCACATGCAAATCCTCAGTAAAGATATTAAACAGACTGGGCGCCAGTACCAACCCCTGAGGACCAAACACCAGTCACCAGCTGGATTTAACTCCATTCACCACCACACTCTGGGCCTGGCTCTCCAGCCAGTTGTTTACTCAGAAAAGAGTACATGTCCAAGCCATGGGCTGCCATCTTCCCCAGGAAAATGGATAGGGCTCTTTTCGGAGGTGTGCAGCAACAGGACAAAGGGCAATAAACAAACTGGAATACAGGAAGATCCATATGAATATGAGGAAGAACTAATTTACTGTAGGGGTGACAGAGCACTGAAACAGGCTGCCCAGAGAGTTTGTGGAGTCTCCTTCTCTGGAGATAATCGAGATCTGCCTGGACACTCTCCTGTGCAACCTACTGTAGGCAACTTGCTTTAGGAAGGGATTTAGACTTGGTGATCTCCAGAGGTCCCATCCAACTCCTATGATGCTGTGATTTGTTCAGACAAAATTGATGGCTCTACTGATTTTGGAAAGCAGAAGCTGAGAGCATACTGTTACCACAACTTGTCGGACTAGATACCTCCAGAGCTACAGTGAATGAGTTCATCTGAATGTACTCAGTTTTTTTTTAACTATCCACACATAGTGCAGAGATGCTTCAGTCCCAGATCTTGTGCACACATGAAATACATAAATATAATTGGTGTGTAATTGATGGAGGCATTGCTTTTTGGTAGTAATTTTCTTTAAAAAGAATATAGAAATCAACAAACTTCACCAGACACCTTAAAGATAAAATCCATATGAAATGAGTTTAATATCACACATGCTTCTGGTGCCTTTGGAAGTCAAAGGTTTGTGATAGTTGTCTTTAATCTGCCAAAGATGAAGACTTGTAGTTCTGAATTTCTGTTCTCTGTAAACAATACTCAAACCTGGAAATGAAACACCTCTGCAAGGTGAGGGGGTTTTCTTTCTGTTTCCTGTTGAATCACTCATCATTTTGGAAATTTCTGTTTGCAATAAGAGTGGGTTGATGTTTCTAAAGGACCTGGATATGCTGAGCACTTGCACAGGAAATTGGGAATTGTGAGCAAGTTATCAGGTGCTGTAATACTCTATCAGTATTAGACAGCCAGACAGCATCATCGAAGCAGAGCTGTAGGTCCAGTGATTTTTTTTCCTTTGTCCTCAGTGCAAAAAAGTTGGGGATGCCAGAGCTGAAAAGAAGGATCGATGTTGGTGAGATTAAGGGTTTTTTAAAAATCTGGATTTATTTCTCTCTCACACCACCCAGAAACAGCTGTTTGGCTTTGAGTGAGGCTGAGCGGTGAAGACAGGATCCTTTCAGCAAGCTGCTGCTGGAGGAATAGCAGCAAACTGCGCCCTGGTCACGGGGGATTTTTGACTGTGTAAAAACCAAACAACCAACTCCGGTCACATGGCAGCTGTGGTTTGGAGAGTGGCTGAAGGGTGTTCAGAAGTCAAATGATAAAGGAGGTGGGAAAGCAGAGGACTTCTTTCAAGTCTTTACTCCACAGAGGATCTCTCGCAGTGTGAAAGCACACCTCAAGATGCCTCGGTGCCTGTGCAGAACAGTCTGGGTATTTCACTGGTGTTATTCCCCTGGGTGGTTGTGTGTCTGGCACCCCAAACTGGGGAGATTACAGGCAGTAATCTCTCACTGACATTACAATGTCAGTTGTAGGAAGCATTACTATTCATTCAATATGTCATAAAAGCATTTTTGGACAATTTATGTCATGCTGTATTTTACATATCATCATGTATCAGAGCTTCCTCTCCATGCCTTTAGCATTTCACTTCTTCAATTTGTTAAGACAGGTGTTCTGTGTCTGTGTTGATGCTGATGGGCTCCCCCATGCTAGCGTGCAGTGTGAGCCTTGGAACACCTCAGCTGCAGCTTCTGCACGTCTGTTCGTTTCTTTCCCCAAGATATCAGGCTTCCTTCTGCTTTCTTTAGATTGAATTTCCAGATGGTCAGCTCTCCTGCATGAGTAACTGCCTCAGGCCAGCTGCAGCTCCTCGGCCTAAAAGGGTCATCAATATGTAAAGTTTGTGCTTTTCATTATGTGTATGTAGCAGGAGGAGCCACTTTGTCAGCATGCTCCCAGGGGGAGGATCTGCATTTAAAGGTCTGCGTAACAGCAGGGGAGAAATGCCTTTTGAAGGATATGTCCCTGGGCTGGACATCAGTGGCTTGGAGCCAGTGGTCTCAAAAGCCAGTCATGAGTCTTGCCTTTACCTCTTCCTTCTCTTCCTCTGGAGCTGTTTTGAGCTGTGTAGTATGTGAAGGAGTCAAAGACCCTGCCTTGTGACAGTAGGTATGTAAGGTTGCCTTTTTTTGATCTGCATTGAAAAGGCAGAGTGATCCAGGTGCCCTGTAATGGATTTGAATCA